CCCTCAAATTCTTTCCAGAGAAAAGCAAAATCAATTTATCAGGTGAAGTCAGACTAAAAGTCAGACTCAGTATACCGAGGCTGTTTTCCACTAACTGCACTGCTACATAAGAATTAATAGACTCTTTTGTACTAAAAGATAGTAGCTGTCTTTTTAAAGTCAAACAAACAAACACTGTCCTCCCATTGTTCATCGATTTGCTTGAACGGGTCCAGTAATGTTTCCATTTTGAGACTTGTTGTTACTGTGTTTGGCATATCGAATACATCACAGGTAGCTTGCCAGGCTCTGCCGTGTGGGCGAGATACTCTCGGTAGCTTGCCGGGCTCTCCGAGAGGGGTGAAGGAATCGAACCCAGCTCGGCTGGGCTGGCTGTGCGCAAGGCAAATGCCCTACTGCTGTGCTATTGCTTTTTAAAGTAGTTCATATAAAATAAACCCAACTATAGAGAAAATTAAGACAAGTATTGACATCGCAAGCCTCACAGAAGCAACAGGATTAGACTACCCTCTAGTGGACGTTTAAGAGTAGTCAATAAACATTTTCAAACATTTTATGAGTTTTACGATAAAAGTCCATTATATTTATTTTACAGGAGATAAGAACGTTTGTATAATCTAGATGAAAACATTCCACTTCCTGTTCAGCCACTGTATTTCAGTGTACTGGGGATTACAAAATTATCCACTCGCCAATTTCACGCACTTCTGACTCGGAAACTATTTGGTAGGACATTTTATGCATAATCTCCATCCTGGCCCGTTTCTGTCTAAGAATAACGGTTCTGTAGACCACGGAGGCTGGAGAGGTTCCCACCGGCAGCCAGGGCCCAGATTTCTCCGCTCGAGCAGTGAGTGGCACTCATTAAGTGTGAAGTGATTAATGGCTGCTCCTCTCTGACATCTCATCAACACTCCAGCCACTCTGGGAAGCCAGCAAGGATGCCTGTCGCCACTTTACAGACAAGAACTGGGGAAGCTCAGGGAGAGAAAGGAGCATACAGGGCCACGTCCAGCCAGGGAGCTGTGGGACGGGGAATCTAGGTGGGAGAATCCTCATCTTCCACTTCTCAGCACACCTTCATCATTTCTTTCGCAAGACACAGGCCTTTGTGAAAGTGATAACCTGCATGAGCTTCCGCCCTTCACTGGCATATCACACAGTTTAAAGAAGGGAAAAAAAAAAAAGGAGTGTATTCCTTTCTCAACAACTCCTGGGGAATCAGGAAATCAAAATGTAGTTTTAGAATAATGGCATCATCAAAAAGCCAAACTGATCAAAAGTCAACACCTCCATCCTTTTCTTATTAATCAGGGCAGATGTGGGCTGGAGAGATGGGGTATTGGGTAGGGCGCTTGCCTTGGACATGACTATTCCCGGCTGAGTTCTATTCCGGCTCCCTGGGTGCCAAACCAGGAATAAGTCTTGAGACTGCTAGGTGTGGCCCAAAACACACACACACACACACACACACACACACACACACACACACACACACACACCCTACATAGGGGGATATTTATATTTTCTCTAGAGAGCAAGACAAGACTTAAGAGAATAAAACAGGCTATAAAACGGAGGGACAAAGAGCGGAAGGGCAGAGTTCAGGGAACGCAGGAGTCTGCAGGTGGGACAGTCTTTCCTCACTTCCTCATTTAGTGGCATTTAGGTTCATGTTACTACAAGGTCTTATATTGCTGATAAATTATTTTGAGGTGATAAAAAAAAAAGAATCCTGCCATATCTGAGGGAATATTCAAAGCATAGGTTATGTGGCCCAGGAGATGGTCCAAAGGGCTAGAGCATGCGGGAGAGCCGAGTGCAAACCAGAGCCCCTAGGAACCATACCTGAGCACTGAGCCAGAAGTCACCCCTCAGCACCTCCAGGTTTGGCCCAAGAACCACGACAATAAAAATTAAAGCACTGCTTCGAATACAAAGGACTGCTGTACCAGCAAACAACTATGTAAACAACAATAATTCATTTTTATACACCCTACCACACAAAACTGGGCTTCAAATTATTTTTATACTATAGATCTGCAAATATTAGCACTAATTCAAGTCACTTCTCTAGGAGTTTCACAACTTCAAAAGGTCTCTGTTTGTTTTTTGGGCCACACCCAGCTGTGCTCAGGGGTTACTCCAGGCTCTGTGCTCAGGGATCCCTGGCAGGTTTCAGGGGACCAACCATATGGGTTGCTGGGATTCGAACCCGGGTCAGCTTCTTGCAAGGCAAATGCCCTATGGTTCCACACTCCCCAAATGCCTCTTAACCAGCTTTTCGAGGTCAACAAATACGAAGCCCCTGGAATTCCAGTCTTGACTTGCTGTCTCCTACAGTCAGTCATTCATCATTAAGTATAAATATCAGGCAGAGAAAAGCCAACAGTGTAAAACCCAAAGGTAGCACATATTTCAAATGTTGACTGTAACTGACATTAGAAATCACCATATAGATTTGAGAGCTATTTTCTAAGCAAACTGAATCCGAAAACATGATTCAAATTATGTAGAAGTACATTACCTGTCCAAATGAGTTTTCCCGAGACCTCTTGCACTGTAATTTACCTTTAAAGGTTCTTGGCTTCAAACTACTTGAAACAGCTCTGGACACCCATACGCCCCTGTCATTACGGGCGCTAAAATGCATTTTCTAAGGAGGAAGGCCATACATCAGGAAGCACTTTTCTTCAAGGTATTAGATCACTAATATTACTTCAGGGTAAAATGATTACTTTTCTTCGGGATATTAGAATCCTAAGAATGAAAATGCATTCTTTTAATACAACTTACATAAACTGAAGCTTCTTAGCAGAATTAACTAGGAAAAGACTTATTTGTAGCACCAAAAAAAAAAAAAAAATGGCAGCGAAGGTCCAGGAGAAGAATTTACTCTCAGTTGGGGAGAGGGGGGGAGTTTATCATAGACAATGTCTCCACAAAGAAACATACCGCTGGAAGCCTGGGCTGCTGTGCTGGCATGAGGCTGATGCAGTCACAGAACAGTCAAGTGCATCCTTGTGGCACAGCTGTTCGGGATCTCTGGGCCGGAGTTAAGTGTGAAATCTCTGGCACACCACAACCCAGAGAATCCTGGCACTGTAGCTAAGAGTGCACAATTCCCAGAAAGCACTGCAAGTTAAGCGTCTGGCCAAGTGTATACAATAACTGGTCCTTCCAATAATAACAGGAAGGGAAGAGAAAAAGATTAAAAAAAAATCTTCAGGGGCTGGAGTGATAGCATAGCAGGTAGGGCGTTTGCCTTGCACATGGCTGACCCGGGTTCAATTCACAACATCCCATATGGTCCCCCGAGCACCGCCAGGAGGAATTCCTGAGTGCAAAGCCAGGAGTAACCCCTGTGCATCGTTGGGTGTGACCCAAAAACAAAAAGCAAAAAAAAGGAAAAAATTGCAAAGCTCTCTCTATGCAAATATCAGCCAAGACTCTATACTGATGTGCATATTCTATGAACAGACATCATCAACCAGCATTATCCACAATCTCCTTTCCATGCCCCGACTTCAGTTGTTAGGAAACAAGGCAACTGAGGACTATTAACTACTAACAACTCCCAACCTAATGCCTCATCCGCCTGGCTTAGGATCCTGGGTGCGCATCTTCTTAACCGTGTGACCTTGGACAGGTCATCACCTGCCAAGAATCACGAAAGCTACTTTTGCAGGGTGCTTATGAATTAAAGATAATGTTTCTGTAAAGCCCCTAAAGATCTCAGGTATCCGACTGGTGCCAATTTAATTATGGGATACGGGTGGGGACTGTCTATGTAACTCAAAAACAATAAAAACGCTTTATAACGTGCTAATTACTTGCTTTATAAACGTGTTCTGCTTTAGAAAAGGCAGTACTGAAAAACAAAAAAGCACGGAGTATCCTTACTTTATTACCTATAATACTAGCAGCTTATCCTCCATGTAAAGGGTTCTTGACTCCATTCTTTCAAGCATGGTTAGAAAACCGTCAGCCATAATATTATTCTAAGATGTGGCACTGTCAAGCAATGTATTAAGGAATAAAGCCTAGGGTCAGAGCACTTTTACAGTGAGCAGGACTCACAGCTGGGAATCATCCCTAACTCTAAGCACAGCTAGAGGTGACCCGACAAGAAATAAAGCATAATGCATTCCAATGGAAACAACAAAAACATAGTAAGTTCTACTGCATATGCATTTAGTAATCCTTTCACTAGATTTGTTTGATCCTCTTACCAGTTTGGGAACAGGAAAAAAGTTTACTTTTCTGAGAGGTGGGGCCCAACAAGTAGTGCTCAGGGCTAACTTCAGGCTCGGTGCTCAGGGTGACTCTCCTGGTAGTGCTCAAGGGCCATTATGCCGGGCTGGTGAATTGGAGTGAGCCACATACAAGGCAAACCCTAGAAACCCTGTTCTCTCTCTTCCCCTAAAATCACACCCAATCTCACCCAGCAACAGCTTACGGAGCACCTCCTTCCGGCAGGATCAAGTCCATCCCTTCTTCTGTTCTACAATGCTACTCAGAAACCACACCCTAACACAACCTGCCGTCACTTTCAGAATCCGGCAAACTTGGAACACATGCTCTGAACCAAAGCGAGGCAGAAAAATGTCATGGTGTTATTTTAGAACTAACACATGGCTACACTTTAAATAGATTTCTTAGGATCCAGGGGCAATCGGAAGACAGGATTAACTAGAACTCACGGGAGCTGGAGCGATAGCACAGAGGGAAAGGCGTTTGCCTTGCACGTGGCTGACCCGGGTTCGATTCCCAGCATCCCATACGGTCCCCTGAGCACCACCAGGAGTAATTCCTGAGTGCAAGAGCCAGGAGGAATCCCTGTGCATCGCCAGGTGTGACACAAAAAACAAACAAAAATTAGAACTCACTATTCAGCCCCCTCCCCAGTATGAGGTGCCGAGATTTTAAAGTGGCCTTGGATCCTGTGGTGCTTTGTCCCTTCCTGAGGAAGGGTGTACAGGGAAAAACGTGAAACTCACTCAGACTCCTGGTCATGGACTCCAGATCGGCCAGCAGACCCGGGAGCTGCCGCAGTTGCTCCAGCAGCTCGGAGAGACTGGTCTTCCTCTTCTCCCAGTGAGCTGAAAGCATGACCACCTCGCTGTCCACCAGCTGGGCAAGACACAGGGGGCAGGGGCAAGGGAAACCACAGTTCAGGCAGGAAGAAATTACAGTCGGCTCAGTGGGAACAAGTCAATGTTTTCTTCAAAAACCTTTGCACTGAGGATAGACAACGGGGCACTTTGAAGAAGACCAACACTGTTTTCTTTCTCAGGGAAAGAAACAACTAAATAGTCAGTGCAGAAAACCTGAAATTACTGCTTGAATATCATAACCCCTAAGTGACCTCAGAAATCACTCCTAAGTATACCCCATTCTCACGTAAACCCTGTATTTGGAAATCCAAATCTAGAAAGAAAAAAAAAACCCAAACTAAAAGATAATTAACAGGCAATTTTTTGTTTTACAAAATAAATTCTCTCAACAGAAAGGTTCCCTAGTGCATTCAGATTATCTGGTTATTCGATTTCCATGCAGATACTTAGTACATAAAGGTAGATGGCACTCTAGATGAAGGAATTATTACTCAATTCCAGAAAAAAGAGAAAAGAATTTAACAAAAATAAAGGGCATTCGGATGTCAAGCGTTCCTAATAGCAGGGTTGAGAGGCACTAGGTTAGTCTAAACTAATTCTGACTTCATTTCCTGAAGACTGTGAAGAAAATGATAGACACTAGCTTTTCCCAGATAATTTTGTTTTGGTTTTCACCTGGAAGGTGTATCCAAGGGCCTAGAATAAGATTTAGAAGGAGCAAACAGAGGTCACTTTTGAAAACATCCCCAGAAAAGAAGCAAGGCCTGGGAAAGATACCCATGTACCCATGTCCTACATAATAAAAGTTGGAAAATCCACTATATAAAACACATTTGAATGTTACATGCAAATCAGAAAAACCCCTGTAAGATGTAAAATCATTAGTACAAGAAACTAAGATGGTTTTTGTTTCTACTTTTAGTTGATTTTTTTTTTTTAGTATGGGGGGGGGTGGTCATACCCTCAATGCGGTTGGAAAATAAAAGTTGGAAAATCCACTATATAAAACACATTTGAATGTTACATGAAAATAAAAAAAAAACCCTCAGATGTAAAATCATTAGTATATGGAGCAAGATGGTTTTTGTTTCTACTTTTAGTTGATTCTTTTCTTTTTTCAGTATCTTTTTGGGGGGAGGTCACACCCACAATGCTCATGGGCCACACCTCATTCTTGGCTCTGCACTCAGGAATCACACATGGCAGAGCTTAGTAGACCATATGGAATTCTGGGGATTGAACACGAGTTGGCCACATGCAAGGCACGTGCCCTACCCCCTGGACCATCTCCCCAGCCCAAGATATAAAATTATTAGTATATGGGGACAAATTTTTTTCCCCTATATTTTTAACATTGTAGAAATTCAGTCATTCTGATGAAAAATTTCGGCAGGTGGGTGACAAGTGACACGCTGCCTCCCTCAGTCTGCCTCTGCTAGACGGATACTCACATCATCTCTCACATTGTACACTTCAACCGAACTGGGGTGTGGGGGGTGGGTGGGAGCATCAAACTGGACTCATTTTGCAATTCTCATTAATTATGCACATTTCGCCTACCGTGGTGCATTCAGGTACGTGCTCTGCACGCAGGAGGCCCGGGTTCAATCTGGGTCTCCTGAGCACACCCAGGAATGATCCCCCTACCCCAGCCCCAAGCACTGAGTCAGGGTTGTATAGAAATCCATAGCGCAGTTTTAAAAATTCTGAGCAGGGGCCAGAACGATAGTACAGTGGGTAGGGCGTTTGCCTTGCATGCAGCTGACCTGGGTTCAATCCCCGGTATCCCAAATGGTCCCCCAACCACTGCCAGGAGTAATTCCTGAGTGCAGAGCCAGGAGTAACCCCTGAGCATCGCTGGGTATGACGCCAACCCTCCCTTCCCCCCCAAAAAAAGTCCTGAGCAGTGGTAGTAGGTACCGCTGTGTTGTACCTGCGTTTATAAACTCCATTCAGAATAGTCAACCGGCTTCTGGCACTACACTACTGCTTGCCAGGTCCAATTTCAGGCACTGGAGGTGTGGTGTTGAAGAAAACTGAGAAGAGAACCTCGCCCTCTTTGTATTCATCCTGCCAGCTGAATTCTCTTCGCTTTCATTTCAAAATTCTTTAAAAGAAAACACTTTTTTTTTTTTTTGCTTTATGGGTCACACCCGGCGATGCACAGAGGTTACTCCTGGCTCTGCACTCAGGAATCACCCCTGACAGTGCTCAGGGGACGATATACGATACTGGGAATCGAACCTGGGTCATCCATGTGCAAGGTAAACACCCTACCCGCTGTGCTATCACTCCAACCCTGAAAACGCTTTTTTTTCCTTTTTTTTTTTTTTTTTTTGCTTTTTGGGTCACAACCGGCGATGCACAGGGGTTCCTCCTGGCTCATGCACTCAGGAATTACTCCTGGCGGTGCTCGGGGGGCCATATGGGATGCTGGGAATCAAACCCGGGTTGGCCGTGTACAAGGCAAACACCCTACCCGCTGTGCTATTGCTCCAGCCCCAAAAACGCTAATTCTTGACATCACAGAATCAATTTGAGAACAACTGACATATCTGCCATGGACCCTGGACCATGGCATAGCTTTTCAAAAATATGTTAAGTAGTCTGGCATCCTAGCTTATCCATGTGAAAATTTTAGAAAAAAATGTTAGATATTAATATGTTTTACTTTTTCTTACGATAGCACAGTGGTAGGGCATTTGCCTTGCACGCAGCCAGCATGGCCGACCCGAGTTCGATTCCTCCGCCCCTCTCGGAGAGCCCAGCAAGCTACTGAGAGTATTCGATATGCCAGACACAGTAACAACAAAGTCTCCAATGGAGACGTTACTGGGCCCGCTCGAGCAAATCGATGAACAACGGGAGGGCCTTTTCTTACTGAAAATTCATTTCTTTTAAGCTAAACTAGATCAATTCTCTGACAAAATTGGAAACTATCATCTTAATTTATAATAGAGGGTGCAGTAAAGAAAGGCTCTAACAATATATTAGAATGTCATTTTGGGGAGCTGGAGAGATAATACGGGAGATAAGATGCTTGCTTTGCACATGGCTGAGTGAGGTTTGATCTGCAGCATCACATATGGTCCCCTGAGCCCAACCAGGAGCCATCCCTGAGTGTTGAGACAGGAGTAAGCCCTGAGCATGGTCGAGCATAGCCACCAAGCCAAAACAAAGAATCATGGTCTTTCCGCTGTTCATCGATTTGCTCGAGCGGGCCCAGTAACGTCTCCATCATGAGACTTATTGTTACTGTGTTTGGCATATCGAATACGTCACAGGTAGCTTGCCAGGCTCTGCCGTGCGGGCGAGATACTCTCGGTAGCTTGCCGGGCTCTCCGAGAGGAGCGGAAGAATCGAACTCGGGTCGGCCATGTTGGCCACTTGTAAGGCAAATGCCCTACCGCTGTGCTATCACTCCAGCCCAAACAAAATTAGTTAAAAATATAAAACAAAATTAGTTAAAAATATAAAATATTGTTGTAGGGGCCAGAAAGGTAGCTGCTTAAATGGGTGGAGTATAGGCCTGTCCCGCACAAGCCCCCAAGTTTGATTCCCAGCATCACCTGACCCCTGGGCACTGCCAGGTGTGAACCTGGTGGCCTCCAGCATCAAATCCTCAGGCTGGGCCTAACATCACAAGGTAAGGCCCTCGGGTCCCAAGCAGGACAGGAAAGACTCTTCCAAATAAAACGAAATAAAGTATCATTTTCAGAAATAACCGCATTATCTCTAGTAGTAATAATAATAATGATCGTTCTCAATAGTGCCATACCAAGAGCAAAGCAATTTACATGTGTTACCTCATTCAACAGAATTTCTGGGCTGGAGCGATAGCACAGCGGGTAGGGCATTTGCCTTGCACACGGCCGACCTGAGTTCAATCCCTGGCATCCCATATAGTCTCCCAAGCACTGCCACAAGTAATTCCTGAGTGCAGAGTGAGGAATAACCCCAGAGCTTCACTGGGTGTAACCCAAAAAGAAAAAAACAAAACAAAATAGCATTCCTCCACCTTTTCACACCTATGGACAGGCACCTACTCTGCAGACCTTCCCAGCTGTTGATAAACAAGTAGGTCAACTCACGGTTTCCACCTTTCGACACCGCCAGCCCAACACTAATCTGTGGACTGGTGACTGAAACCACCGATTTATATACTACACAGCAACCTTGTAAGCTACGCGAAATCACTGCCTCCATTCTGCCTCAGGTGAAGAAACTGAGGTACTATAAAGCCGTGCCACATTTCCACGGGCCACGGTGGAGCTGCATTCAGTCCCAGGGCGTCTGGCACTTAAGCCCATGCCCTCAGCACTCTGGTGACTGTCTTATAGGAGAACAAGACAGGAAAGAGAAAAGTGAAAGTTGCAGGAGGAGGGTGCTGGGAAAGGGGCCCTGAACAGAAACTTAACTTAATGGTATGGAGCAGTCTCTCTCCAGAAGGCCTGTTTTTCTACCTCCAAGTCAACAATGCTGATAAATAAATAAATTTTTAAAAAATCAGATTGAACACTAGAGAATCAAGGTTAAACAGCAAGGCAAACCGATCGTTGCTTCATTCCAAAATTCCTTCTGAGGGGAACTGAGGTTAGGCGAATGAAGGAAAAGCAGACAGTAGCTGGTTTGCGAAACAGCTGATAAGAGGATCTTACTCTGCACAGAGTTAATTCACATGACTTCCAAAAACAACTTTGTCGGGTAAGCATGGTACGAGGAAAGATTTTTTTTAAACGCAAATGCAACTTATTTAGTGGTTAGAAAATTACTTGGGATTTGTATTTCTTCTAGAATTGCGTTGAGTAAAAATTTCTCTGACTGCCATTTAGGTTTTTGTTTTGATTTGGTTTGGGGGCTAGGCTCAGGGTGCTCAGGGCTTACTCCTGACTCTGTACTCAAGGTTCGCTTCTGATGGTGCTCAGCAGACTATATGGGGTGTCAGGGATCAAACCCTGGTTGGCCAGGTGCAAGGCAAGTGCTCTGCTCGCTGTACTCTCTCTCTAGCCCTGTCAC